TGGCACACAGGTTGCTGGAGTCCGGTAGCCGCTCAGCCTAGCCTAGTCCATGAGCTCGAAGTTAGTGAGAGACCTCGCCTCAAAAAATAGGGTGGAAACCGATTAAGGAAAGTACCTGACATTGGTTGGCTTCTGGTCTCCACATGTACTTACACAAACATGCATCATCACTCCCACACACATGTACACACACACACAAAACATATATAGTTCATATTTTTAAGACATATCAACGTGGCATAAATGTAAATGAAAACAAAGTAATTTGAGATGTTTTATGATCTAAGTATTTAAGCATTATTGTATGTATATATTTACCCTATATGTGGAATCACTGTGAACACATAGCAGCAAATGCAGTTAACACGGCTGTGCTGTCTTGGCAGCTCACAGATTTTAAACTCAGCAATGATTTTCCCAAATGGTCAGCATCCTGTTTATAAAGTGGAAACCTAACCAAAGTACAAGTTATTTTTGTTGCATCCCTGAAAAATTCAGTGTTTATTAAAGCTGTTAAAAAGTACTTTCTCATGTAAACGGAGTCAATTTCTAGTCTCCAGTGATTGCAAACAGGTTTTCTCTGTCACATGGGGTGTCGTAATCATGTGACAGGGGTCAGCAGGAGTTGGCCATATTTCCTGTGCTTATATAGTCCATAAACTGAAAATGCTTTTTATATTTTCAGTTGTCTAAAAATGAGAAGAAAGCTGAAACAAAGCTTATCAAGGCTTTTCTTGAATTAAATGAAAACTGATATTACATGAGAATTCATGACTTTAAATTCAGTCCAAAGTCAGTTCCTTATTTATTTTCCAATTGTGTTAAAATTAGATGAATTGACCCTAGTTCAAGATTGTTGGCAGAGGCTACTAGTTCGTTTCCCGACTGCCCTGACTCAAAATAACTGCACAGAAACTTTTATGATTTGCAATACTTTTGGCCAATAGCTTAAACATATTTTTAGCTAGCTCTTATATCCTAAACTAACCCATCTCCATTAATCTGGTATCGCCATGTGGCTGTGGCTTACTGGGTAAAGTTCCATCCAGTGTCCAGCGTCTGTCTCCAGCAGGACTACATGACTTCTCACTGACTCCACCTTCTTTCTCCCAGCATTCAGTTTAGTTTTCCTGCCTAGCTCTACTCTGCCCTATCACAGGCCAAAGCAGCTTCTTTATTCATTAACCAAAAAAAGCAACACATACAGAAGGACTTTCCGCGTAACAAGATGTTGATTGAAATCTCACCAAAATAACTTTTATGTCATAGGCACAGTTATATTAGAATAGTTTTTTTGTTTGTTTGCTTTTTAAAGATGTGCTGTCCTGGAATCCACTACGTAGTTCCTAATCCCAGGGTCTGTTAATGCAGGTGTGCATCAGCACACATCTCAAAATAGATGTCTCTTTGTATGAGGAAAATGATACAGGCCGTCTGTGTGCAAAGCAAGATGCTAATAGAAATAGTTAACTTAATTGTAGTATAATATACAAAGTAATCCCACCTCCCCCGGGGGTCTTGCCGTGTAGCTCTAGCTGTCCTAGAACAGTTTGTTGTACAGGCAGGCCAGATTTACTTTCGGCTGCTCACCTGCTTCTACCTCCTGAGTGCTGGGATTATAGCCATGTGCTACCCAGGCTCGGCTTTGAAGTAATATTCCTTCTGGAGTCACAGCAAGAGATTTTGGATCGGTTATCTGGTAAATAGGCAATAAATGTGTTCAAGTGTAACAGGAAATATAATCTATCAGAAAGTTTTGATGTTTGCCACACAGTTTTCACATTAATAGTGAAACGCAGCTTGTCTCTAGCCGTTCTGCCTACCTTTGCAGCCCTTGGCTCTTCCTGCTGGTGTCCTGTTTTAGTGACAATTTGTGGGTCCAACTGATAGGACTATGGTATAAATTATTTGAATAGTTGTGGTTTGGGTGAGAAATGTCATCCTTAGGCTCAGGTATTTGAATCCCAGTTGGTGGTCTATTTGGGGAGGTTTAAGAGGTGCAGCCTTCCTGGAGGAAGCCACCTCTGGAGATAGGCTGCGAGGGATAGTATCTACCTGTAAATAAGAGGCTGTCTCTCAGCCTCCTGCTCCTGCTGATATGGCTCCCTCACTCCTCTAGAACCCCTTCTGTGAGGCGCTTTTTGGTTATGGGGTTTTATCAGTGCAATAGAAAAGGAATGGAAGTTTTAGGTGCATGCAGTTGGAAGGTTGCTGAGGTAGCGTACACAATTGAAAGATAATTTATAAGAACAGGGCAATACTGGGAGTGCCCTTTCGCTGGGCTTCAGGGAGCTCTCCTTACTCCTTCTTCCTGTTTAGCCCCGCCCCTCCTCTTTTCTTCTTTTCAACTTTGTGCCAAAAAGTTCAAGAGACTGGCTGTCCACAATCCCAGTCTCACATGGTGCTGGCACTGCGATCCCCATGGGCAGCGCCGTTTATCCCCCTGACCTAGACCTCCCGTGTACCCCGAGAAAAGAGGTGCTCTGATTTGTCTGGTGTGGTGCTCCTACCAGCAGCCTCTGTGGCGAAGGGGGAATAGTGACAAAGGAAAGGACAGCTTTGGGATTCCCTGCTTTACTGCAACTGAGTGTGTTCTCAAATTTAGCTTTCTAGTGTCCAGGTTTAACTTTGCATCATACTTGATTGCCCAGGTGCCCAGCCTTTGTGCTTCCTTATGGCGTATGTATAACCATATCTTGAGTTTTGGCACACTACTTTGACTCTGTACTGTCTTTTCATTTTTTTTCTCTCAGTTTTTCTGTTTGTTGTTAAATAGAGCTAGTTGGATAATTTCCAATAGCACAAATTTCTCACTTGAAACAGTTAAAAATAAATAATAGTGATAATTAGTCTTTGAAGGATAATGAACTTAGCATTGTAGCTAATCCTTAGGTGGGGCCATTTTTGCATCATTATTGGTAGAAAGTTCCAATTTGACTTATTATTATTATTATTATTATTATTATTATCATCGTGATGTCAGTATCTAACTCTCTGTGTAGTCTCTTATGACAGCTAACCAGTGTCTTAGTTATGCTTTCTATTGCTTTAATAAGGCACCATGACCAAAAAGCAAGTAGGGGAGGACAGGGTTTCTTTGGCTCACACTTCAGCGTTGCCCTTTATCATTGAAGGAAGTCAGGACAGGAATTCAAACAGGGCAGGAACTTGGAGCCAGGAGCTGATGCAGAGGCCACGGAGGGGGTGTGTGTACTGACTTGCTTCCTGTGGCTTGCTCAGCCCACCTTCCTATAGAATCCAGGACTACCAGCTCAGGGATGGCACCACCTTCCACGGGCTGAACACTCCCCTATTGATCACCAATTAAGAAAATACCTTACAACTGAACCTCATGGAGGCATTTTCTCAACTGAGTTTCCTTCCTCTGATAATTCTAGCTTATGTCAAGTTGACACACAAAACTAGCCAGCACATCAGAGAACCGTGGCTTAACAGTCGGGACTCCGATTCGTTGAACTTTATTGGAAGTCAGTGGCTTTTCTATGATCAACATTTATCAGTGCTTCTGTCTTCCATGTTGTCTTTGAAATGGAATGTGAGTTTCAACAGAAGTAATAGATGTGAAAACTCTTTGAAAGTAGAGTACTGTGCAATCTTAAGGTACTTCATTCTACATTTAATATTCTTATATTTAGTGTCTTAGTTTGGCGCTTCTATTGCTGTTGTAAAACACCATGATCAAAAGTAACTTAGGGAGGAAAAGGTTTATTTGGCTTACAGGTTCCAGTCCATCATCAGTGGACTGAGGGAAGCCAAAGCAGGAAGCTGGACGCAGGAATTGAAGCAAAGGCCATTGAGGAATGCCACTTTCTGGCTTCTCCTCCTGACTTTCTCTGTTTCCCTAGGACCACCTACCCAGGGGTTGAATTGCCCACAATGGACCCCACCCACATCTATCATCAACTAAAAACTAACCCATCATTGCTCACGCCTTTAATCCCAGCACTCGGGAGGCAGAGGCAGGCAGATCTCTGTGAGTTTATTAAGGCCAGCCTGGTCTACAGAGTGAGTTCCAAGACGGTCAGGGCTACACACAGAGAAACCCAGTCTCGGGGGAAAAGGAAAGAAAGAAAAAGGAAAGGAAACCATCACGCAGGCTTGCCCACAGGCTAATCTAATGGAGGCATTTTCTCAGTCCAGTTGAGGTTTCCTCTTCCCAGATGACTCTAGATTGTGTCAACACTGATGAAATATCAAACCAGCACATCTGGTTACTGTGTGTTCTTAAATGCTAGAGTGGAGAACCTAGCTTCAGTGGTAGTTAAGGTTTGAAAGTATAAGGAAAGCGTAATGTAGCATACAGTGTCAAGTGGTGTTACTGAGCTGTTTGATGGAGATGACACCCACTGAACGACACTTACTTAGTTGTCTAATGGACAGCTCATGGTACCACTACAACATGTCAAACCAGGTCTACTGACAATAAATTATGTAAGATTTTATCAGAGAACCAATTAATTTGATTTTTTTGTTTCCTTGTTTAGAATAATTTTTATTTCCCCACTTTGAAGCTGGATATGAAAAGTTACAATTATTGAATTTATGTCTATGAGTATTTTGCCTGAGTGCATGTAAGTACATCATGTTCATGCTCGGTGCCTGTTGAGATCAGAGGAGGCCTCAGATCCCCTGGAACTGGAGTTATGGACAGTTGTCAGCTGCCATGTGAGTGCCGGGAACTGAACTTGAGCCCTTGGCAAGAGCAGCAAGTACTCTTGTCTGTTGAGCCATCTCTCCAGCCATCTGAAAGTGGATATTTAAAGTTATATTCTTGTTATTGATAGAGAATTTCTTATTTGGAAAGGGAATATTCTTGCATTTGTACTATGATCATCACTCGTTTTCTTTCTTGTCACTTGATGGCCTTTTTGAAAGCATAGTCAATGATTGAGGCCAATCAAAACGTGCTCTGTAGGTAGGCAGCTTTGTCTGGTTGTCTACCAATCAAACACACATTGCTTTCTCTGTTGTCTTTGTAGTCTATCGCATCTGCAGACATGGATTTCAACCAGTTAGAGGCATTCTTGACTGCTCAGACCAAAAAGCAGGGTGGCATCACCGGTGAACAAGCTGCAGTCATTTCCAAGTTTTGGAAGAGCCACAAGACAAGAATCCGAGAAAGCCTCCTGAACCAGAGCCGCTGGGACAACGGACTGCGGGGCCTGAGCTGGAGAGTGGACGGCAAGTCGCAGTCCAGGCACGCAGCTCAAATACACACCCCTGCTGCCATTGTAGAGCTGGAGTTTGGGAAGAGTGGGCAGGTGAGTTCAACTTGAGGCACTTATTAGCCCATACATCTATTTTACTTTTACTTAACAGTGTTTGTACATATACTAATCCTGTGAAATTCATGTGAAAAATTTGAAATTCTCACCGGTTACAGCAGAGTCTATAAAGGACCCTTGAGTTGTCTCAGAGCCCAGTGCCTCTTGTGCTGCAGTCTCGAGGTGACGGTAGGGACACTAGCTAAAGTTAGCGCAGACACACTGCGGCCTGTCACCTGTGTGATCTTCCGGTGTGGGAGGTGACGTATCTCAATATCTTAATCATGTTAATGTCTATTCTAGAGACCTAGCATGCCATCGCTGACCTCAGCTCACAAATAATTTTCAGTTTGCTCTTGACTATGGACCAGCGCTGCTTTCCTGTCTGTGATTTCTCTCAGAGCTGTTCAGTCTCTGCTCCAGATGTCAGATTAGTCTCCCAGTGCCCTGGCTCACATTTTCTGAGGGGAAGAGGGGAAAGAAACTGGTAATTAGAGACTGTCCAGACCACTGAGTTAATTACATTCATTTTCCCATAAATAACCAAATAAGTGCTGTCATTATATTATCTTCTAGAAATATCTTTCTCTTCTTTCTTCCTTCCCTCCTTCCTTCCTTCCTTTTTCTTTTTTCTTTTTTTTTCTTTTTTTTTTTGGTTTTTTGAGACAAGGTTTCTCTGTGTAGCCCTGGCTGTCCTAAAACTTGCTCTGTAGACCAGGCTGGCCTCAAACTCACTGAGATCCATCTGCCTCTGCCTCCCAAGTGTTAGGATTAAAGGAGTGCGCCACCATCGCCCTGCTGGTTGTTTACTTTTTATTCTGACAGTATACACATTCTTCAGTGTCACTAAGAGGATTTGTTTTAGGACACCATGCCCATGCTCAATTCCTTTACATATAACCTACATATATTCCCATTTATTTTTAAATAATTCTAGATTACTTATAATTCTTTTTTTTTTCTCTCTCTTTTTGGTTTTTCGAGACAGGGTTTCTCTGTAGCTTTGGTGCCTGTCCCAGAACTAGCTCTTGTAGACCAGGCTGGTCTCGAACTCCCAGAGATCCGCCTACCTCTGCCTCCCGAGTGCTGGGATTAAAGGCGTGCGCCACCACCGCCCGGCTACTTATAATTCTTAAAACAATATAAATTCTATGTAAATTTTTGTTATACTGAATTGTTAGGAAATAATAACAAAGTCTGAACATGTTTGATATAGATGTTTTGTCTAAGTATTTTTAATTTGTGGTAGGTTTAAATCTGTCTGTAGGAGGAGTCTCGTGTGGGTTTGGGGTGCTAGGCATATCTCTGCCTGGTTCACTACAGTCTACAGTTCAAGAGAGTTTTACACCTTCCATAAGACTGTTTGGTTCTCATTAAAAGATTTCTTCTCTAGCTAGAGGTTCTGCAGACTAGGCCCCATGACACTTGTGGATTTCCAGAATGGACTGTGCAGGGAGGGATGTTTGCCTCTGGATTTCACCGCTGCTGATTTAGCAGGGGCCTTTTAAGAATGCTCCGTAGAACAGGAGAGATGGGACAGCAGTTAAGGCTCTGTAGAGCAGGAGAGATGGGACGTCCGTTAAGGGCACTCACTACCTGCTCTTCCAAAGGACCCAGGTTTGACTCCGGCACCCAGACGGTGACTCGCAAGTATTGGTTAACTCCAGTTTTAGGGACTCCATTGCCCTTGTCTGGCGTGAACACCAGGCATGCACGTGGTACACAGATATACATGAAGGAAAAGTACCCATTCACATAAAATTAAAAAACAAATGGCTTCTCACCTGGACATAGCTGTAATCCCAGCATCGTAGTAGCTGAAGCGGGAGGATCGTGCGGTTGAGGCCGGGTTGAAGAAATAAATGGCTGTCTTTACTTAGGACATTAAGGAAAGCAGTTGTGAGAGACACTGGGAAGACCTTACCAAGCCTTCTAGTTTCTGTTGGTTGTGGTCACTTTAAAAATCACTCGTGTAGCTGGGCCTGGAGGTACACGCCTGCTGTGTCCCAGTACTTGGAGGCAGGGACAGGCAGCTCTCTGTGATTTTTAGGTCAGTCTGGTCTAGAGAATTCCAGAACAGCAAGGGCTACATAGAGAGGCCCTGTCTACAAGATACTCCTTTCCTCCACTGTTCATCTGGAAGGTTGTACAGGTGAGCAGTGTAATATTATAGTCTCTGTTAGCGTTGCTGTACCCTGTGCTTCTGACATGTGCGACAGGATGAGAGTGTAGCCTAGATTATTTTTCAGTGACTGATTTTGTCTAAAGCAAAGACTTTTCACTTGGGCCTGTGTGGGCTTTTTTCAAAGTCAGGAGGCCACAATCTCCACACTCAGGTCATGCAAGCGCTCTGTGTTTTGAGCATCCGTCTTAGGAGGAGCTAGGAAGATGGACCCCTGGTTGTTTCCCTTCCGTAAACCACAGTCATTCTCTCCTTGGAGAGGGTCAGTCTTAGGTCTCCTCCCGCTTGGCCGCCTGTGAGTAAACTCTTCGTTTGAGCGATTTGCACACGATGCTGTGGGCAAAGCCTGCTCCAGAACTCTGGGAGCTAACACCTGCATCAGATTTCTTCCTGATAACTGCAACTTTCTGATCCAGAGCTGAGACTTAGGAAATTAAGAAGTCGCTACAGGTTTATACCCTGCATTTAACGTGGCTGTCACTTTTGGCAGTGACTTAGCAAAGGTTTCTGGGGTTCGCCACTTCTTTTTCACCTGTACATTCTTCCATTTTCAACTCTTAGCAGTAAGAAGCAGTTAAGTTGGCCGAGCCAACACAAGCAAAAGCAAACTGCTGTGACTCTCATGTGTCAGGCTCGCTGAGGGCTCTGAAGCTTACAGCTGCTGGACTTCATCTCACACGAGGGCTGCTGCTTCAGTAGAGTAGGAAGGGCTGATCTGAGGGGGTAGCGAGTGTTGACTAGAAGGAAGGAGCCAATCTCAGGATGGGGGGGAAAACTCATAGATACAGGTACAGCCAAGCTGAGAAGTTAGCCTTGGTAAGGAATCTGAATTTTATTCAGAGTTTAATTGGAAACCATCAGAAAGTTTCACACAGGGAATGCTGTAATAGGATCATTTGGTTTCATTGTAGAAAATGGGTTGAGACAAGACAGAAGTGAGGGTGCTGAGATTCAGAGGGGAGGGAGGGCAAGTGGTCTACTACTTTCAGTTGTTTCTTTGCATGTTAAACACATTCTCCTTTGCCCCTAGGCTGTCATTTGATAGGATGTTTTAGTTGCTTTCCTGTTGCTGTGACAACACGCCACAACTAGGGCCTCTTACAGAGTTTACTGGAGCTCCCAGCTTTAGAGGGTTAGAGTCCATGACCATCATGGCTGTGGAGCATGGCAGCAGGCCAGCAGGCATGGCTCCAGGGCAGTAGCTGAGAGCTCACATCCTATAGCAAAGTAGGAAGCAGAGAGAACTGACTAGGAATGGCTTCTCAAAGCCCAGCCCTGTGACACATCTCCTGCAACAAGGCCACACCTAATCCTTCCTGACAATTCCACCAACTAGGGAACTAAGCATTCAAATATAGCCCAGGTGGTGGCAGCGCACACCTTTAATCCCAGCTCTGGGGAGGCAGAGGCAGACGGGTCTCTGTGCATTCTAAGCCAGCCTGGTCTACAGAGTGAGTTCCAGGACAGCAAAAAAACCTGAAACAAACAAACAAAATTCAAATATATAAGGTTTTGGGAGTCATTTTCATTCAAACCACCACAGGACCTCAAGGTCAAAAATAAAATACTAAAGAACTTTATCCTTCTGCTAACAAGATGTAGATGTTCATAAACAGATGCATCCAATATTCTACTTTAAAAAAAGAAAAATGATTAAAAAAATATAAAAAAAATGGGAAAAAAAAGAAAAGCAAAAAAAAAAAGAAAAATGAATTGCATGGATTTCTGAAATTTCCATCTTTGCTTAGGATAATTCCCTCTTAAAATTTTATTATAGTATCTTCTAAAATTTGTTGATAGGCCCAAGAATAACCAATTAAAATTAATTGATACTGGGGCAGGAGTGGGGAGTAAAGCTGAGAGACCATTACAGAGGCTTCTACGGGGCTGGAGAGATGGCTCAGAGGTCAGGAGAACTTGCTGCTCTCTCAGAAGACCTAGTTTCAGGTTCTCAGTGGCTCATAACTGTCGGTAGCTCTGGTCCCAAGCAATCCGACAACCTCCCCTCTCTCTACGGATGCCAGGCACGCATGTGGTACACAGGTGCACATGCAGGCAAAACACCTTTACACATAACGTAAGACTTTTCTCTTTAAAAAAAGCTTTTACCATGTATCATATTAGGCATATGTCACAGAAGGTAGAGGCTATTTTAATGAAGCATTGAGAAGGCAAGAGTTGGGGCTGTGCCTGCAATGTTGATGAGTTGTCTTAGATGTTGCCTGGTTGCGAGGGCAAGCTGGTGAATAAAGAATGGACCTTCCTTCTTCCATTGTCCTTATATAGGCTTCCAGCAGGTGTGGCCCAGATCAAGGGTGTGCCTTCCTGACTCAAGATCTGGACTAAAAGCGAGTTGTCTTCCTGTCTTAAGATTCAGATCACAGGTGTACCCTCCATTTCTGGATTGTAGTTCATTCCAGATACAGTCAAACTGACAACCAAGAATAGCCATCACACTGTCTTGTTACTGAGGATAGTATTTTCCTGGGTTTAGCTATGTTATAGCGTACACAGAATTTAATTCCTTTTTCAAATTGATGTTCCATTGCTTGTGTTTGCCACATTTTGTTTATTTGTCTATTGAGGGATACTTGGGTTACTTCTACGTTTTGGCAACTGTGAATAATGAGCATAGTAATTCAGCGCCCATTAAATAACAAATTTAGCCAGGCCGTTGTAGAATATGTCTTTAATCCCAGTGCTCAGGAGGCAGAGACAGGCAGATTTCTGTGAGTTTGGGCCAGCCTAGTATAGATAGTGTTCCAAGACAGCCCGGGCCTCATAGACAAACCCTGTCTTGGAAAAACAAACAAAC